CATCTGCAGTTCTTTCGGTTTTTAAACAGAAAAAGATAGTGTATGATGCATGTCAGGTCAATTCTTCAAGTGAAAGTTTTGAGAGGGGAAGTGTTTCCCTTCTGGATTAAAAATCTGACTATCTACACTTAACTATCAAGTCTCTACAGCATGCTAAGGTAAAGATTTCTTCAGATTCACCAACCTCTGAGGGAAGATATTCCCCATCTTTGTCTTATATGGGTGATTGCTTTATCTGAGATTTTGCTTTCCAGTCCTAAATTCTCCCACAAGGGCAATCACAATTCCTTCATACTTATGATCAACATAGTGAACTTCATTGTACTGCCTCCAAAGCCAGTATTTCTTTCCTTAGATAAGGGGCTTCAAACTGTTCACAGTATTCCAGCTGTGGTCTAACTTGTGCCTTGTGACTTCAACTTCCCCAATATCCTGAGCAGGAGGTTTGCTAGAGCTCTTCGGGAGGGTTTAAGCTAGTTTGGCAGGGTGATGGGAACCGGAGCTGTGGATCAGAGGATGGGGTAGCTGGTGTACAGGCAGATACAGCATGCAGAGAGTCTGTAAGGAAGGATAGGCAGTTGACAGGGCAAAGTTGCAATCAGTGCGATGGGTTGAAGTGTGTCTATTTTAACACAAGAAGTGTCAGGAATAAGGGTGACGAACTTAGAGCATGGATCAGTACTTGGAACTATGATGTTATGGCCGTTACGAAGACTTGGATAACCCAGGGGCAGGAATGGTTGTTGGATGTTCCGGGGTTTAGATGTTTCAAAAGAAATAGGGAGGGAGGTAAAAGAGGTGGGGGAGTAGCATTGCCATTCAGGGATGGTATCACAGCTGCAGAAAGGGAGGTCGTCGAGGAGGGTTTGTCTACTGAGTCAGCATGGGTGCAAGTCAGAAACAGGAAAGGAACAGTCACTTTATTGGGAGTTTTCTATAGACCACACCGTGCCCCCCCCGCCCCCCCACCAAACAATAGCAACAGAGACACTGAGGAACAGATTGGGAGACAGATTGTGGAAAGGTGCAGAAGTAATAGGGTTGTTGTTATGGATGACTTCAACTTCCCTAATATCGATTGGAACCTCCTAAGTGCAAATAGTTTGGATGGAGTAGATTTTGTCAAGTGTGTCTAGGAAGGATTTCTGACTCAATATGTAGATAGGCCGACAAGAGGGGGGCCATGTTGGTTTTGGTGCTTGGCAATGAACCAGGCCAGGTGTCAGATCTCTCGGTGGGAGAGCATTTCGGTGATAGTGATCACAACTCCCTGACCTTTACTATAGTCATAGAGAGGGATAGGAGCAGATGACATGGGAAAGTATTTATTTGGGGGAGGGGGAATTACAATGCTATTAGGCAAGAACTGCGGAGCATAAATTGGGAACAGATATTCTCAGGGAAGTGCACAACAGAAATGTGGAGGTTGTTTAGGAAGCAGTTGCTATGAGTACTGGATAGGTTTGTCCCACTGAGGCAAGGAAGGGATGGTAAGGTGAAGGAATCTTGGAATGACAAGACATGTGGAACATCTAGTCAAGAGGAAGAAGGAAACTTACTTAAGGTTGAGGAAGCAAGGATCGGACAGAGCTCTAGAGGGCTACAAGGTAACCAGGTAGGAACTGAAGAATGGACTTAGGAGAGCTAGAGGGTGAATGAAAAAGCTTTGGTGGGTAGGATCAAGGAAAACCCCAAGGCATTCTATGCTTATGTGAGGAACAAGAGGATGGCCATAGTGAGGGTAGGGCCAATCAGGGATAGTGG